CTTTTCTTTAGCAAATCCAGGGCCTGGAGTAGATGCGATGTGTGGTGTTCCTTTGGGTTGTCCACACAGCATCTCCCTCTCACTCCTTCCTGGCAGCCAGAGCCCCACTCATACCCTTGCACCATTTAAGTCTCCATCTCAAGCTCACTCCTCTTTTGTGTCAACGTGCCTGGGACGTCCAAGTGTGATGGAAGACGGGGACTGTGGTCCTAGAAAGTACTATTTTTCTGCAAGACTGAGTCATCTTCTTCCCTAGAGATGCTTAAGATCAGGTGACCTTCTCCTTAGTCAAAGCTGGTTTATATCACCCTGACTAGCAGCAGAGGCTCAGACTGGCTGGTTCCTGAGTATCCTCCTGGCCTAATCATTCTACTTTTCCAAGACACACAAGGCTTTACAGAGTTGGGGCCAAGGATTGTCCTAGCCCACCTCTGTGGTCTGCAGTATGGTCTTCATGTCTTTCAATCAGTAATCGCCTACTGAAAATCCACCGCAGGAGAACTACAGAGGCGGTATTAAGGCCTTAATGTTGAGTTATCCATCTATCAAAACTCCTTTCTGGTACTGGGCACTGATAAAAAAAGAATATAATATATCACATGATGTATATATGATCATTGTGTTGTGTATGTAATACGTATGAAGAGAGAGAACTCCAGGAAAACGATTTTCTGTGACAAGAACTCGGATAGATGGATGTGCCCAGTCGATACCAGACTACAGAGGGGGGGTCTTTCTATTTCTGTCCAGTTAGAGAGGGGTATAGCAGGTCATGATAAAGCAAAACGTCAACTAAATTCTGAAAACAAACCAGCTATCAGAAGTCATTTTCAAAAATACAAAATGACTAACTTAGAACAGGGTCCTCCAGGTGGTGGTCTCAGCACGAGAAGCATCTGGGAACTCGTTGGAAACGCACATCACCAGCCCTCGACCCCACCCCACCAAGCCTGCTAATCAGTCATTCCTAGGTGGGCTCCAAAAATGTGGGTTTGAAAAAGTCCTGTGGGGAACTCCGCTGCATGCTGAAGTTTGAGAACCACTGGCTGAGAACTCCAGCCCACTCGCCTGGACCTTCGGTCCCAGGTGAGCGGCACTAAAGGAAACAGGAGCGGTTTGTCATCTAGAAGATGACATCTAGAGATGAGCAAAAAGAGCTCTGCCTGCTCCCCAGCTGGCCCAGGAAATGCCTAGATTCCTTGAAACTAGAGCAACTTCTTTCGGTTAAGACACTGTCACTAAAAAGCCACTCTGCCCATTAGTATGCCAACACTTTTCATTTGTCTTACTCTTCAGTCATCAAGTCTGTCACTTGACAGAGAGCCTGGATGTGGAGAACACCATGTGACATAACCCATGTCAGGTCAGGTTTAAAGTGGAGCAAGGGGAGAAGTCCTAAGCCCTCATCCTAAAGAGGCGAAAGACAGGCCCAGGCGGAGCCCTAAGGGAGGGGATGTGGGGAAGGCAGTGATGCTTTCAGAGAAAGGGATGCTCCAAGAAACACTGTCATTGTTACTGTCTTGAGCAGCACTTCACCATCAATTAGCTGAGGAGATTATCTCCCCTGGCTTCTTAGAGCAGAACAATGTCTAAACTGGAAAGGTCATTGTTTGCTGCTAATTAGCATTCGTCACCCATTTGATACATATTTGTGACTCACATCCAAACTAAGTGTGGAATAATACAAATTTGGGGCACTTTTTCGTGTCCCACCTTTAAAGCATCAGCCAGTTCCTACAATGAAATCTGCAAATTCAGGTCCTGACATCTGCAAGCACCAGTGGGCAGAACTTAAGAGAGACGTAATGCGTCTTCACGACGTTCCTACATGCTTCCTTTACAGGGCATGTAAATGAGATGTTTTACTAACACATCCATCGAAAGTTGGGTATCAAGTTTTAAAAACTCTGCTAAAGTACTTAACCATTTGAAAGCACATAATTTTATGTCCAACAAACAAAAACAGCATTAAAACCTCTATTTTCTCATAGCACCATTACCCGGCTCTGCATGTTAACATTTTTATTACACATTATATTTCTCAAAGGCTTTCTACACGCCTTTTAAAAATTCAATTGACGGTAAAACTCAACCCAGACTGGTTTTTAAAAATTATGACAAAGACATGACTTAAAATATAAGCTGGAGATGGCGGCAATTAAAGTTGATGTACAAGTTACCACAAGAAAGGCAGAAGTCATTGATTCCTTGAAGTATGTCTTTTATGGGTAGTAAACGTCCCTGGACAACAGTTCCACTTCATGTTCTTTCTATTGACAGGTGACATGTTAACCTCTAACCAACCATAGCAAGACAGTTCAGAATTAAGGCTGACACTTTGTCCTTTCACCAGTTCCAAAGTACTGCAGGGGTTTTACTGCCTGACGTTATACCATATGTGCAAACTCCAGACACAGCAGGCAGGGTTAAGCAGGATGCCTCCAGCCTCTGCCATTTCCCTGCTTCCTGTTGTTTTTGGAGCAATCCTAACTTTAGCTAAACATAACCTTTCTGGGTGAATCATTTTTAGTAGGAGAATCCGCCTTATGGCAGAGCACCCTGTACTTCGGCTAGATTTCTAGCATTGCCATCTATGGAATTCACACAACTCAGTGCTTTGGTGTTTTGAAACCCACCCATTGCAAGAAAATTTTCATAAAATAAAACTATTTCACACTGAAGACTTTATGAATGAAAACCTGAACAACTATGAAATGAACAACAGGAGGAATTCTTTTTGAAGTTGCTTTAAAGTTGTTTTTTTTTTCCATGAGTCGCTCTTTCACTAAATGGTAGTGATCAATGGTAGATTTTCCAAAACCTTTCCAGTAAGTCAAGTCATCTTTTAATTCTAAACTTACTACTCACTCGGGTAATGGGATACATTTACTTACTTGTGCCCTCAAAAGGTTCGAATCAGAAAAAACCTCTTAGGTTTTACATTCAAAACTTTTTTTCAAAATTATTTTTTGCTAGATATGAGAAATATATTTGAGAAATGGGAGAACACCAAGTTCTAGTAAGAAACTATATCCTTAGCTCAAAGTCAATAAATCTTACCAAGCCAGAGTACATGAAAAGCATATACAAAGAAAAAGAACCAGTCCTTTTAAAAGTATACGTAACTTCCCCAATGGTCTTTCCCCTCGAGTTTTCTGTAGGACATCTATTTCTATATAATTTCCCCAAATCTATACATAGCTTAGAGAGGGAAACATAAATCTCACGAGTTTTGGATTCACTTCCTGTTGCCTCCCTTCATTACACATTTAAAGGTAATCAGTAAAAACTGATTTCTTTTTATAAGCACTTCCCTGTTCTGCCAGAAATAATAGTAGTCCCTGCTTGAAAATGAAGAAAAACAATGGAAAGTAATATTTACCATAAGAGGAGAAAAAGAAACAGCCTAAGCATTTTTCTGGAGCCAAGTAAAACACCAACAGCAAATCAAGTTTATTCTTACAGAAAAAAAAGTTAAATACTCCTGGCATTAGTCCTATTCTTCAAATCTGTGGCATCAACAAGTTTTCCAAGCCTGGGTTTATATTGCAACTCTCTAGAAAAGCTCATTATGTTTCCTAATAGTTTTACTCTGTATCTGTGTGAATATATGTATCACACACAAGACTTTTGCCCAACTTTGAACAGTGAAGCAGGAAAGACAGTTAAGTCCCCCAAATTGCCTCCTAGGGCGGACTGAGATGCAAAAACCACAGGGGAACAGGGAAAAAAAAAAAAGAGGAGGTCACAGTTCCATCTGGTAAGGCAATCAAGAACTGCAAACAACAGTATCTCTTATTTCAAAACACAAAACTTTTTGCCACTGGCATTTTCACAAAAGAATTCTCTTACTTAAAACGTTACTTGAAAGCTTTACATTAAATCATCTGAAATAACCTCTTGGGGCTTCTCCAACCTGTAGACTCTATCTCAGAACTCTCCATTTTTAATGTTTTTTCTTCTTTTGGATGTTTCACAAAAGACTGTAAGAAAACACCAAATGAAAGAGCAACAGACTTTTACTTTGTAATGAAGTTACAAATACATTTTATATGTTTTCCTGGCTTCCTATTCCCCTGCATTCTATACTATCTACAGAGGTTGTCATATTTCACCAAGGCAGATTATAAATTAGACAAGTTCAGCCCGTCAGGTTGAAAAATGGAGGTAAAAGGCACAGCGGAAAATATATAAAGTATAATTAAAACCATATGACCAGAGATACTGAAGCAATACTTGTTGGAAGAAACCCAAGTGAAAATCAAACCTTTTCTGGTGTTAGTGAGACTATCCAGTCCGTTTGGGAGAAGCACACATCATTTACTAAATATTCTTTTTTTTTTTTCCTTTGCAGCGAAGTACCCAGGAAAGTTAAATCCTAACAAGGTAATTAAGCTTATCTGTGGCGTTGTGAAACCCACGGTCGTTAATGTAAAACTGATATCTCATTTAAAACAGTAATCATTTATTTAGAAATATAGTTTAAGATTGGGCGAGGCTCAATTTTACATCCACCAAAGAGTATTAAAAGCTTATGATGACAATGTTGAATCAAAACCCTTTTCTACTTTCCTATGAAGTTTTCATCTCTAAAGATCTGAGGATTCCAGAAAGGCACAGATAATGTAATTGTTGCTGAAGCAACTACAACAAGGAGTAAACTGAAAGAGCAAGAAGATAAAATCCAAACTATCTCCTCTGCTACATCGTAAACAACCTGGATGTTACTGCCTGACAGAGGCGGTACCCAGCAGGCCAATGAGGTAGTACATGTTCAAGGATGTACAGAAAATAAGAGCTCTTAAGGTTGTAAAGCAATTCCGGTAGAAAAAAATAAATAAATCTTTGACTTTGGCTACCTGTCACCAAAGCCATTCCACGTCTAGGTCTCCTGAGGATTCCAGTGTCAGTTTCAATAATCTCAGCGGACAACTGGAACATAATTTTCAATATTGCTTTGGGATTCCAGTAAACAAATGAAGTTGAACAAAGTCACTTACCCCCCAGAAACTGAATTCCTCCGGCCACTCTTCCCACTGTCCGGGAGATGAGCTCCGACACACAGCAACCCATGAGGGCAGTGAGCGCCACCAGGAGGAGGAGGCCACAGCCCAAGCCCGTCACAATGGTACAGATCCTCCACTCCGCGCTGGGGATGCCCTGGAAGGAGGCATAGCGCCCACATTCCTCCACCATCACCATCATCTGCCGACTCTCATCATGCACAGGATACGAGCACCTCCGGAAAGTACCGAAGGACACAGGCTTGCCCAGCTGTGAGCCCCAGAGCCAGTAAGGCATGAAGAACCCCACGCAGGAGGTGGCAGCACAAAAAAATGACAGCAGAGCCCAGATGACCCCGGTACAAGTCAGACTGGATGCCATCTTCCACCAGATAGGGCCAGGAGGACCCAAAGGAACTGTTCAGGGTCTGCAGGAGTGAGTGAAGGCGTGAAACCACCGGGACCCAGGGGGTAATCCACAGTTCTGTGATGGGAGAGTGCCTATTAAATGAATTGATCTTCAGTCTTCCTGGGCATCAACTTCCCATCCTCCACAGTAAGGGTGATGGTCCCTGGTAAAACCATAAGAAAGAGTAAGAGGTAAGCATTTTTAGATTAGCAATAACACCGATTCAGTTGGTCTACAACTCTGTATTAATAAACATTCAAAACTGCCTCAGGACTTCAAAAGTGAAAAGAATGTAAGCTGAATTTTGCCAGACTAGTGCAAAGCTTTTCATGTTGTTATCTCCTATAAATGCTCCCAAATGAACTCGGACATCTATTTACTCAAAGAAATGCATGACTTCTACTTGCCAAGCCAGTGAATTCATTTCATACACTCACATTAAAAGTAATGTAGCATTTTTACTGGTACTAAGCATAATTCCAAATATTATAAATAAAATGAGCCATACCGTGGTTTGTTTAGTTGGCCTGCAAGTTCATGCTCATAATTTGCAGCAACTTTTCTATGTTCCTCTACGTGCATTGTCTCTACATGACCCCGGACAAAATGATGAAGAAAATTTTTGCAATTACAGACTGTCGAGGCACACAGAATGGATGGGACCATTAGGCATCCCCAGCAGTCATTCAGCGACATATGTCAACTCCTTCAGTCTTAACTATCTTCTCCTAGTGTCAACGAAAGATTTTCAAATCTGCAATTTTGATTCATTGGTTCCAATTAAATTATTGAAACCACCTCTCCTGCTGAATGAGTATCAGTCAGTGTCTAACCTGAAAAATAATCCATGCTTTCCAGGACGCTACCTCGAACCGCAGTCATTCAAGCAGCTCCACGTGCATGCAGTTCCATCCCTCTCTCCCTTTCAAAAAGAGTTCCAGAACCACTTCCCACACTTTCCACAAAGAAATGAATACAGAAGCCCAGAGCTCACGCACCGCACAGCTCCAATAGCGGCGCTCTTACCTCCAGCTTTCAGGGCCCACAGCAAGCGCCCCCCGCCACCCCGCGCGCCCCACCTCTCTCCTTTCCCGACCCTCGCCCCTACTGTTTCCTTTCCACCCACCGCCCCACTTCCACTCCGGCGTGTCACTCCAGGGAAGACTCGGCTTTTTTTTTTTTTTTAACTCTTGTCAACTGCGGTCAGCATCAGCATTAGCGGCTGAAGTTGGTCTGTCTGGGCCCTGAGGCAGGGGAAGCGAGTGGTGGGGGGACGAAGGCCCTCATCTCGAGCTGAGGGAAGGCGTCCTGGGGCACGAACATGACAAGCCCGTGGCCAGCCCCCTACAGTGGCCTTACCCACCCACCCCCACCGCACCCCGAAGACACACAATGAGCCCAAAACCCCCAACGGGGGAGAGGGGCTTTCTCCAGCCGGCCCCGCGAGGAGGAAGGGGATGAGGATGGGAAGGCAGCACCCCCCGGAGGCAGACGCCAGCAGCAGACGCGGCGGGCAGGGAGAGCCCGCCGGCGGCCAAGCTCAGGAAGTCTGGAGCCCGGGAGCAGCCCAACTCCGGCGTCCGGAGAGAAAGGAGCGGAGCCCAGGTCCGCGGGCAGCCGCGCGCTGGACTCACATGGCTGGCGGGCGGCGGCCGCCTTCCCTCCCCGGGCCGGGGCGCACACACAACTTGCTGTCTTCCCCGGGCGGCGCATCCACGGCACGGAACACCGTCCTTCCCCCTTCGTCGCTGTCCCTACCCGCCGCGGAGCCCCGGGCCGGACTCGGGAAGGAGAGCCGGGGAGGGCAGGAGGC